GGGCAGAATTTGAATCTGTGGAGTCGCACGGACACATCGGACATATTTCAAAATTTTAGCTTCTTAGTTTTTCCAGTTGAAAACTCGGGACAAAGCGCATCCACAGGTACACACATGCACACACAAACGCACACACATACACATAAACACACACACACACACATCACGCAAATACACAAATAGGGGCATGGCAATATGCATTTTGCGCAGCTGGTACGCGGCACAAAATCCATAGAAAAGTCAGGGAATGATATGAGACAAAGGAACAGCGACAGCAACAAAAAAACAAAAAGGCAGCAAAAAGAAATGCGAAAAAATGGTTGCTGGACAACAGTTGCAGATGAACAGCAATTCTTCTGCAATAACAGTACGCAAATACAAGCCATTCGAACCACTGAGGCATATCTTCCGGAGCAATGTATACCACAGTGCACAATCGCGGCATTTTCACCAATACGCCTTGAATCCACTTTCATCTTAAAAAAACAACACATCTCAATTCAATGCATCCATTTACAGCAAGAAGAATAAGTAGCGAAGCGCACCAGTGTAGCAGGTTCGAGCGTTTTGTGCAATACCGTTCACCGTACGATTGCCTGTTAATGGTTTTCACTGCCTTGCACTTTTGTCTGCGCAAAAATAGTTGAAGTGTTAAAAAATAGTTGAAAATTTCACGCGCGTGAGGGCTGAATCCAAATTTGGGGAGGTCGTATGCTGATAGAAGATATCGTCCTAAAATTTCAGCTTCCCAGCTTTCGTGGTTTACGTGATAATAACTTTACCCACCAAAGTTTTTACGCGTTCGTACGTGTTACCCGCGCGCAGGGGAAGGCCGCATTTAAATTTTCTGGATCACACGTGAGCAGGAGACATGCTCACATAAGTTCAGCTTTCTAGCTTCCGAAATTTCAGCCTCCCCGCCAAAACTTTACACGCAGCTGCGCGAAGGCTGAGTTTAAATTTGCGGGGTCACACGTGGGTAGGGATCTAAATTTTAAGCTTCCTAGCTTTTGTGGTTCCCTAGTTGAAAACTGCGGACAAATTGTTGCGGATACATACACACACAGACAACCCCGTGACAATATGCGTTTTGTGCAGCTGTTGCCCAGCACAAAACGCATAAAATAAACAAGGGCGTCATTTTGATCTAATATGCTTTGATCAGCTTGCTGCCGTTTTCCACACGTTATCAGACAGCAGTGCTTCTGTGGTTGCTGTGCATCACCCACTGGTCAGTTCTGAAGCGACCTCAAAGTTCGTACGATGAGCCGAAGAACAGAATGGCACAATTTCACTTCTTTCGTAAAATTTTTTTGATGAGTGCGCTGCAAAAAAAAAAAAAAAAAAAAAAAAAAA